ATGCAAAGATTTTCTCGATTCAAACTATGAGATTGATCAAGCACAATTATTTCTGAATCACTGAACCACTTCACTCGAAGATCATAGAGCATCAAACGAGATTGATCAAGCACAATCATTTCTGAATCACTGAATCACTCCACTCGAATATCATAGAGCATTAAGAGAGAGACACATACGAGATTCAAATTGAGCAAGATATGATTGAAGACATCATAATGAATTGATCCTTGGTTCAATCACCCTTAAACACTTGTTTGGGCCTATTTATCCTTTTCTTTCATAACCATGAACCATAGCCTACATTATGTGCCCTAAAAGTCCATTCTAATCATACATGAAGTTCTGAACAGAAGAGACTATCTCCAGATTTCATCCCGCCCATTAGGATTAATATTTATTTGCAAAAAACAATGTAATTAATGCATGATAGAGAAAAATAACAAAAGGGGGTTCAAGACATAAATTACAAATGACGTCTTGAAACCAAAGGAGGATTCGAGTTGAAAACCTGAAAAGGCGGCTCGAATACAAAAATTGGGCAGCAGAGGCGATCACACGAATTCCTTGATGAGGTGATCACACGAATTCCTTGATAAGGCATCGCACAATCCGAGCTTGACCATGAAAGCTGGGAATCGAAGAACACTTCCAATAGAGGAGCATGCAAGATACCCCATCAAACCTTTGAGCATCAAATAAACAAAAATGCCAAACCTTTGACCAAACACAATAACCTGAGACATTTTTATCCTTTCCTTACTTAACCATTTCCCAAAAATAGATTTGATCTTGGCACGTGTCAAACGGCTATAATTTATTGAAGGATTAACAATGTAATTAATTCTTTGATATCCAATGAACTCTAGTTTTATGATTTGTCTCAATTGTAAAACCGTGAAAGGGGCAATATTTTCAAAACTTTTGGTTAAATATTTTTTAAAACTCTTTTTTGATATTTTCAGAACTTTGAAAATAAAAAAGAAAGAAAAATATTTTTTTTCAAAACAAGACAGTCTCTCTAGAGTGGATCTTGGTAAATGACATGTGGCTCTCAAACACAAAACTCATGCTTAGAATCAATGCTGAAGCAAGAAAACAGGAACAATGAGGGCATCTTTGAAGATTCAACATCAAATGTTGGAGCATTTTTTTAGATTTAACATCAAATGTTGGGGTATTTTTTGAGATTCAACATCGAATATTGGGGCATCTTTGGGAATTCAACATCCTGATGCAAATTATCAGACCTTTTGAAGGTATTTCCTCCATATGTAGGAACAAGCACACAAAGCACGAGACTCCATCCAGGGGATAAAACAGAAATAATTCATATTACATGCATCTTAGACTTACTTAAGAGCATCACGTTTATCATTTTTTGTATACATAACTTTTTCTAGCTTTTAGAGTCAAGTTTCAACTTCAAGATGAAGGATGCTCGATTCAAAAACACATGGTGGTTGCTTTACCTCACAGCGAAGGGGCGACTGTCTGACAACAAAACAACTTTCCAGTTTCAGTCAGAGTCAATTTCAACTTCACGACGAAGGATATTGAACTCAAAGCGACACAATTCGCTCGAAAGTAGATTTCAACTTCACGACGAAAGATATCTAGCTCGAAGCCAAACTTCACAATAAAGGGTCATCCACAGTTTCGACTTCACGGCGAAGGGAATCGTGTCCACCCGCAACATACAATACTTGGATTTTAACTTCACAACGAAGGATATCCATGTCAAGGCTCAACTTCACGATGAAAGGGCCACCTGCGATTTCAACTCACGACGGAGGATATCGTGCCACTCGAGACAACACAAGTTCAACTCCACAACGAAGGGACGACTGGTTGTCAACAAATAATTTCCCAATTTCAGAGCCAATTTCAACTTCACAGCGAAGGATATTGGACTCGAGACAACACAAGTTCAACTTCACAATGAAGGGTTATCTGTCACCAAAAGACCTTCGAGTTCGACTATGCTCAGCTCTAAGGCACATCATTTACAACATAACTCAAGGCAAGAAGGGCTATATGGCAATAAAATTGTCGAGTTCGATTCCATTCAGCTCGATTACACCTCAATCACACTATTGTCCGACTAAAAAACCTTTTTTTCGTCAGCATAGCTTAAGTCGAGAAAAGCTATCTGTCAGCGAAGACTTTTCGAGTTCGGTTTCATTCAGCTCGAGGGCATATCAACCACATTGTGGAGTCAAGAGATTACTTTCCAGTCGAATTTTTAGCCAATGTCTTTAAACCGAGAAGAAGACCAAAGTGGACTATAACGAGAAGCCACATTCTGATTTAAATCATTTCAAGATGGACTCGACTTCGCGATGGAGGAGCCATCCGCGATTCAATTCGACAAGGAGTTATTCTTCAACTCCACTAAACGAAAATTTGTGTCTTTTTATCTTTGTCCTATTTTTCGTTCCACGAAAAAGGACAAAGAGGGGCAGCTATAGACACCCATTTTCTTAAAAGATAGAACTAGCAAGAGTTTCTCTCCTAGGAGGACTCTTACACCACCATATCAACCACACCAACAAACGTGCAACAACCGAGCAAAGAGTCTAGTTGCATTAGGATTCTATTGTTAATAGGATTCTAAAAATAGTTAGTTTTTTTCACTATAAATAGATGTAATCCTCCCCATTTGTAACACAGGATTTACATACAAAATACAGAGGAAAGCACGGAAAATACAAAGGCAAAGCTATTGTAAACTATTCGAAAAGGAAATAAAAGGTAGCATCTTTTTTACTTTTGATTCGGTCTCTTACATTTACGTTTTAATTATTATTATTTTATTTATTTAACTTTATTTATACGCACATTTCCCTTGTTATTCATTTTATTTAATTGTTTTGTTATTTTTCTTTTTTTTTCATGTAATATTTTTTTACATTTTATGCATTTTTTTTACTTTAGTATATATTTTTATTTTTTTAGATTATATATATATATATATATATATATATATATATTATTTTTTATTATCACTTTTATTAATTTATATATATATATAGATATATATTTACTATTTTTTTATTTTTATTTTTATTTATTATATATATATATATATATTATTTTTACTTTTTTATTATTATTTTATTTATTTGTTTTATTTATATATTTTTTTCTTTTTTTTCTTTTTTTATATTTATTTTACTTACTATTTTATCTTTGCTTTCTTTATCTTATCTTTTATTTAATTTGTTTTTTCTTCATTTTAATTTAATTAATTTATTTATTTCTTACCTTTTTATCTAACTTGATTTTTTGACCTTCTTAAGGCCACACCTTTAAAACTATCTAAGGTAAGTAATTGTGATCGTATTTTTACCTTTTAATTTTAAATTACAATTTTCTTAATTTAAAACAACCGGCAAATTAATTGGTACAGAAAGGGCGATTCAAGGGTGCTAATCCTTCCTTGACCGTAACCGACTCCCGAACCCGTCACATTTATGGTAAAAACGCAGATCATGTAAGATGGTGTCCGACCCACCTAAATTCGTTTTAAAGTGGTCGGTGGCGACTCTCAACCCAATTATTTCAAGTCGAAGCCCGATTCGGGGCCCAACCGAAAGACGGTTACAACATCTGGTACCCATTGCCTTCTTCAAGGTAAATTTGTTTGTTCCTACTTTTCCAAGTAAGAAATTAAATAGAGGTTGAATAGTAAAACAATAGCTACTATATAACGGTAGTGATTGTTGGAAAATTTCGACATTCTAACAGTGACATCGCCCGAAATCACTATTATTCGAAAATAACATTATGAAACAAACTCATATCAATAGTGATGGATCATAGTTATAACTTAACGGGTAATAACCAATTACAACATTAGTGAGTCACTATTTCTATTATTGTTTCGTTAACATAAATTGAAAAATAAAACAACAATCCATTGTGACAGCTTTTATAATAAATTGTGAGAATTTTGAAAAGTACAACCACTAAATTTGCAGGTTGCAGTGACCGCAATAATGTCTATTATATCTATAATCATGATAAATGTAACATGATCGAAAATATAGTCGCAACCACAAACTAAAACCCTTCATCCAAGAAGCAATGTTATTAACAGTTCTGATAACTTCAAATTATGTTATGTCAACTTCAATCAATGGTGTAAATTCTCGTAATCCTTAGCAGGAACTTCAGCAGAATCAACATTTATAATAAATATTTCAACTTTAGAAATCATAATTACTAGTGCTTCTCGGAGTAATTTATCAACAAAATGTAATGCAAATTCTTATTCCGATCGCCTTGCTTCATCATCATCATCTATCATTTAAACTAATGCTTAATTAATAAATATTTTATAACCTAAGTGACAACATCACAATAATTGAAAGTTTAGTTTCAAAATTCAGAAATAATTAAAATAAAAGTGACCACCAATGTAATGTATCCAAAAAAATATTTTTAACCACCCAAAAAAATAAATAAATAAACACTACATAATCTCTTGTGTATCTATCTGTGTATGAAGTTATAGGTTCAGGGCAAAACCGACTTTGGGCTCTTGTTTTTGTTTCTCCCATACTCGGTTTTGCTTTGGTTTTGTTGGAAGGGGGTACGTATTTAAAAGATTTTCACTTTGGGTTTGTTTTGTTCTTGGTGTTAGCCGATCCTGTGGTCGATATTTGGGTTGACCCCACCTTTGGGTCTCTTCTTCTCGCAGTTATGCATGATAAGAAAAAGAAAAATCTGTCTGTCCTAATCATTCATTTATTTTTCTTTTATTTCTTTTGTTCCCTATGCGATCCATGCCTGGTGCCGGTTTGTTCTTTCATTTTGATTGCTGAATTTCTCTTCTACCATTTGTTTCTTCATTTTTTGGTTTATATGGCAAGTTGGCATCAAATTCATGTTTCAAAGATTTGATTTTTGGTCCATTTTTAGCTTGAAAGTTCAGCCACTTCACTGAGATTTCAAGTTATAGTTTTTGGTTCTTTCAGTTTTTTTAGATCAGATTTACAATTTTGTTTAGATATTGAATTTTGGTTTTGTCTCCTCTCTTTTAATATCATGGTTAGTGCTTCTGGTTTCAATTCATTTGCAGGTTTTGCTGGCGGCTTCTACTTCTTCTCAGTCAACTTTTGTATGGATTTCAATTCGAAATTGAGTTTTGTGGAATAGGGAGCAAGTGTTAAGTACTTAGTGATAGCTTGATTATAATTAATATCGATTCGGTATGGAAATGGCTTCAAGAGTTGAGATTGATGAAGATAATGACAACAAGGGAAGCATGTGGGATTTGGATCAGAAGCTTGATCAGCCAATGGATGAAGAAGCTGGGAGGCTTAGAAACATGTACAAGGAGAAGGTATGTTTCAACTTGTTTCGGATTTCTCGGTACAAGGTATCGTTTGCGGTTAATCGGAACAAAGTAGCTCTTGGCTCATGTTAATCTACCTTATTAGGGGAACTGATTTAAAGCCTTTCCTTTGCATGAAATCGGAATTTACTTTTTGTCTTTTATGCATTTTAAGTGATTGTCTGAGATGAGATAAATGCAAGGTAGCGCTTATAAAACTCAAATTGCTTTCAGTTTCGATGATATTGTAGTTCTTTTGTTATTTGGATCGCTTGTAGTTTCTGATATGGTTTTCAATTCCCGATAGAAATCCTCCGCATTATTGCTTCTGCGGCTTGCATTCCAAAGTCTTGGAGTGGTTTATGGTGACTTGGGCACTTCTCCCCTATATGTTTTCTACAGTACATTCCCTGGTAAAATCGAAGATCCGGAGGATGTTGTTGGAGCTCTTTCGTTGATTATATACTCCCTTACTCTTATACCGCTCCTCAAGTATGTGTTTGTTGTGTGTAAAGCAAATGAAAATGGTCAAGGTGAGCTGATAGCGGTGAATGAGGCTATGCATGTTATAATTTAATCCGAGACATGATTTTGACAAACAAAATGCTTCTTAATGCATCACAGCATGCGGAACCATAGGCTTGAACAATTTGCTCTTTCACTATCCTAGCCCACTTCATTAATACTAACGCTAATTTGCTCATGAATCCTTCTCTTTCCAATGCTCGTGAGACACCACCGTTAGAATCAAACTTCTTTTTTGTCATGCAGGTGGAACATTTGCTCTATATTCATTGCTCTGCAGACATGCAAACATTAAAACAATTCCTAACCAACACAGGACTGATGAGGAGCTAACAACTTATAGTCGTTCTAAATTTCACAAACAATCATTTGCTGCTAAAACAAAGAGATGGCTAGAGAGACACGTGTCCAGGAAGAATGCACTTCTTATTCTTGTCCTGGTTGGTACATGTATGGTCATTGGTGATGGAATACTCACTCCGGCAATATCAGGTATTTTGCTTATACTCACTTAATGGAAATTCTGTATAATATATTGTCGATATGCTAATGTCAACACACTAATTTGCCGGCTATCTTTGGCAGTTCTTTCAGCCGCAGGGGGCATCAAAGTAAACCGTCCACACATGAGCAATGGTACCTCCTCCTCCTCCTTAAACTTTATTCTTTCTTTTCATCCTTTGATTCAATTCATTTGAAAATATTTAGCCATGTTTCTACAAGGCCGGTACTAATTTTCTTTTCCGTTATGCAGGTGTTGTCGTGGTTGTGGCCGTCGTAATATTACTAGGTTTATTTAGCATGCAACACTATGGTACAGATAAAGTTAGCTGGCTCTTTGCCCCAATTGTTCTTATTTGGTTTCTTGTCATTGGAGGCATCGGCATATATAATATTTGGAAGTATGACTGCACTGCTTTGAAAGCATTTTCACCTATATACGTCTATCGGTATTTTAAGAGAGGAGGGAAAGATGGATGGACCTCTCTTGGGGGTATTATGCTTAGTATCACAGGTAAACTTACTATCATATTTTATATCCCTAATATTTTCCTTAGCTTATCTATTTAATGTTCATAAACTTGCACCGAAACTGGTGAAATGATTTTGATGACTAATGAATCAGGTACGGAGGCACTTTTTGCAGATCTATCCCATTTTCCAGTTTCAGCTGTGCAACTCGCTTTTACTGCATTCGTATTTCCTTGCCTTCTCCTAGCATATTCTGGACAAGCTGCCTACCTTATGTGTAACAGGGACCATGTGGTCGATGCATTTTATCGCTCTATCCCAGGTTTGTTCTTATATCTATTTGGTGGGTCTGATATAGTACTTAGTTGTCCCATTAGTGTGGCTGATTCTAATTACTTGTTTATAATGCAGATAGCATATATTGGCCTGTTTTCGTTATTGCTACTGCTGCTGCTATAGTTGCAAGTCAAGCTACCATAACGGCAACCTTTTCGATTATCAAACAAGCCCTTGCACTTGGTTGTTTTCCACGAGTGAAGGTTGTACATACGTTGAAGAAGTTCTTTGGTCAGATATATGTTCCGGATATTAATTGGATCCTTATGATTCTTTGCATTGCCGTTACGGCTGGATTCAAGAACCAAATCCAAATTGGAAATGCTTATGGTAAGGTATCATCCCTTCCTACTTTTATCGAAGTTCTTAATGCATCTTCTGTTCTGTTGGAAATTTGCCAGGTAGGAAAACTCACATCTCGAAATGTCTAAATTTATACGAGATCTTTGTGTAGAAAATTTTATTTTGTTTGCTGAGAGGCCGAGTTTTCACCATCATCAGGGGCTTTCTGTTGCGAACTAATGGTATCATTTCGAGCAATACATGTACCTAAGAATTATACACTTAATTGTATCGTAATCTATGTAAACGCGGGGACGGCTGTGGTGATCGTCATGTTGGTAACGACGCTGCTTATGACTTTAATCATGCTTTTGGTTTGGCGATGTCATTGGATTCTCGTCCTCCTCTTCACCGGCTTGTCCTTGGTTGTCGAATGCACATACTTTTCTGCTGTACTCTTCAAGGTTGATCAAGGTGGGTGGGTTCCTCTTGTTATTGCAGCAGCCTTTTTGCTCATCATGTATGTTTGGCATTATGGTACACTGAGGCGATACGAGTTTGAGATGCATAGTAAGGTTTCGATGGCATGGATTCTTGGGCTTGGCCCTAGTTTAGGCTTAGTTCGAGTTCCCGGAATTGGGTTAGTCTACACCGAGCTAGCAAGTGGTGTTCCTCACATATTTTCCCACTTCATCACTAACCTACCCGCCATCCATTCAGTGGTTGTTTTCGTCTGTGTGAAATACCTTCCTGTCTACACTGTTCCGGAAGAAGAAAGGTTTCTTGTGAAACGCATCGGGCCTAAGAATTTCCATATGTTTCGTTGTGTTGCTAGGTATGGCTACAAAGACTTTCATAAGAAAGATGATGATTTCGAGAAAAAGCTATTCGATTTCCTCTTCTTATTCGTGCGGCTCGAGTCGATGATGGAAGGGTGTTCAGATTCGGACGAATATAGCTTTTATGGCCAGCAAACCGAGCAGTCCAGGGACGGTCTGTTGAACAACAACGGCCACACAACTTGCTCGTTCGTCGATACCACAGTTTCAACGGTGGATTCAATTGTGCAGGTGAGATCTCCGATGCATACAGGTGTGACGGTAAGATCGTCGGGGCAAGTAAGCAGCCAGACTGAGACGGATGAGTTAGAATTTTTGAATAGCTGTAGGGATGCTGGGGTGGTACACATCATGGGAAACACTGTGGTGAGGGCAAGAAGAGATTCAAGATTTTACAAGAAAATAGCAATCGACTATATTTATGCATTTCTTAGGAAGATATGTAGGAAACATAGTGTGATTTTTAATGTTCCTCATGAGAGTCTATTGAACGTAGGACAGGTTTTTTATGTTCAAGTTCAAGCTAATTTCATCAATAAAAAACCAGAAAATCACATTTTAATTTTTCCAAGTAGATTTCATTACTTGTTAAGTTCGGAAAAGAAACTCGGTTCAGCTCAGATCTCAAGCAAGTTTTGAGCATTTTAATGGCAACTTTGCAGAAACATGATTATAATCGAGATAAATATATAGTGATAAATGTGAGAATTATGGTTACATGTTCTAAAAAGATTTTCATATAAGTAACATGCTTGTAGACACTCATTTTTGTCTGGGTCTACAAAAATATTATTATTATTATTAACCAAGTTTAACTACAAATTTTTTGTAGGCCACCGAAGCCCAATATTACAAGCCACTCAACCCCCAAAGCCCAATACAACCCGAAGCCCAACTAACCCAAAACCCAGATGACCCAGTTCAGCAATAGACCATTCAGTGACTCGGACCTGACCCAAAAGGGACCCAAAACGGCCCAGTGACCCGACCCGACTCACCTAGGGTTTCATCATAACCCTAGGTAGCTTCTGCCGCCGCCGCTTCCAGTCTCTGATGCTGTCACCGCCGACTATTCAGCCGACTGATCTCACCTGCACAACAATGACCCCAAATCATATCAAACATCAAAAATAATTAAGAAGATCAACCAAGTACAAATACTATCCCAAGAAAAATCAGAGAAATCATTTCCTATACCTAGGGATGAATTATTTTCAAGGCAAAGGGGAACCCATTAAAACAGAGGCAACAAGACACAGAGAGGGGGCATTCGAGATTCGGAACAAAAAAAACAAAATAAAAAAACGAGAAAAACCTAAGAAAACTATTCATTTTCGAACTAAAAAAAAGAAAGAACAGAAGAAAGAACATAACTTTAGAGAAGATCCGACATTTGGTAGCTTCACCAGAGCCTTAAAAGCCACAACCGAAGGTAAATATCATACCTTTGAAGTTAGGTTTTGATTTTCATTGATTTTGGGGTCGGATTTAGGTGCTCAGTGGTAAGGAATTGAGTTTTAGGAGGTTTTCACCGACTGTTTTAACCCTGTGGCCACTGATTTACGGTGGTCGGGGCTTTGATTGCTTCACTCGACCGGGAGAGGGGTATCACAAAGAGAGGAGGATAGAGAGAAAAGGAGAGAACGACTGATAAAGAGGGGATGTTGAAATAATTTTTAGGGTTTCCAAATGACCCTTAAGTGGGTTATAACCCACGGCCGAAACGACGACGTTCGGTATGTGTCATGGCTGCATGTTTTCACATTATGGGTAAATATCAACATAGGTCCTCATATCTTAGTAATCATCCACCAGTGTTTTTCATATTTTTGGGGGGCAAATCACAGTGTAGGTCCCTACATCTTTGTAATCTCTTGATTTGATCATTAAATGAAATTTTAATGTTCTGTTTCAGTCATGTATCTTTCAATAATTATAATTAAGTCACTAGTTGTTTATTTTGTCATTTTTGTGTATGTTTCACTTTGGTCACAATGTTTTTAGTTATTTCATTTTAGTCACTGGTAGAATGTGTTCTATATCTTTATTGATGTTCAAATTTGACTCTGATATTTGTAAATCTTGTATTTTAGTCACTGTTTGGTACAAGTTTAATTATTATTTAATATTCCATGTTACTGGTTTATTTTATTTTAGTCCTTAATGATATTTATGGGTTATTTTTGTTTTTAGTACATGTATTTTTAATGTTTGCTATATGGGTTTTAGTTTTTGTTTTTACTGTTTAGCCCTTTAAGTTTATGTTTTTTCTATTTTGGACCTTTAAATTCCTGTTTGTACTATTTTGGTCCATTAAGTTTCTGTTTTTCCATTCTGGTCCTTGTAATTATAAATACTTACTTTTTGACCATTATATTAGGGTTGTAATATTCGTTTGTATTTATTTCAATTCGCATGTACATATTTGTATGTTATGTATTCATTTGTATCATATGTAAATAAATATGTGTATCTCTATTAATTGTAAATATTTTTATTTCGCATGTTTCCAATCATCATTGTTTTAATATACGAAAATGAAAAAGTTTTAATGTGAGGGAAATCTACAAAGATATCTCCCAACTAAAGGGAATATATCTTTTTGAGGATTTTTCGCATAAATGTTTGTTTTATATTCGATAATTTTCTTTATTCCGTGTTTATTTATTTCGAGTATTTTTCATAGTTTTTCATCTTTATTTTGTTTTGTTTTATTTTATTTTATTTTATTTCATCTTTGCGAAAATTGGGAAATAATTTTTGTTGTGAGGGGAATCTATGGGAAAGTCTCCTAACTACAAAGGAAGTGCTTTCCCGAAGATTGTTCACACGAAATGACATTAATTATCCGAAAATTGATATTTTATTTGAATAAATTCGAATAAATAAAAGGGTCATAATTTAAATACATTTTCAAGTTTGCAATTTCCAATATTTAAACATCATATAATCGTTTAGGTACCAAAATTTGGGCGTTGAGGGGGTGCTCACCCTTCCCCACACGTAATTGACTCTCGAATCCTTAAAAACGAATCTTTGGTTAAATACAGACCATTTTTTTGTCGTTTAAGGTTTTCAACCTACCTAGCTTAATGGTTGGTGACGACTCTAAAACTAAACCATTTTTCCAAATCACATTTCATCACATTCCCCAAAACTAAATTTTTTTAAGTCTAACGGATCCCTCGGGGAGACGTTATGACAACTTGGTGACTCTGTTGGGGACCTTGAGAGTCAGACCATAAACGATTATACGTTGTTTATATTTTTGGGAATTACAATTTTAAATTGTATTTAATTTATGATCGTTTTATTTATTTTATTTTGATTTTGCATTATTTTATTTTTAAATTGATTTTGGATTTTAGTGATTTTCATATTTGAACAGATTTTGGAAAATTATGAGAGTAGCGTTTTTTGTCCTGTTTTAAAGGTTTCTGAGTTTATCCTCACACACATCACTTGCATTTGCATATCATAAGCTCACTTACGAGCTTTGTCCTTTTAAGTTGAGGTGAAAGCTTAGCCTACGTGAGATAAATTGTTTCTCTGCATGGGTTTTAGCTAGTAACCTTTGGGGTTCATATAACTTATGTCTAAGTGAGATAAAATATTTCTCCACCTAGATATAAGGGAATGTATCCTCTCAAATTGAACTCGATTCGCACGAGCCTGTAATGTGTCAAGATTGAGGGTTTGGCAGCCTAAGGAGGCACCAACATGGACAATTCGAGTACCCTTTTTCTTAGAACCCAACATATGCATATAGTGAGCCATAGTAATTCACCCCGATAAAAATTCATGTTCAACCTTTGTCCGTCAGTAGGTACCCAAAATAAATGTACACAAAGGAGAAACGACTCTAAACCTCTTCTCTTTACCTATATTATTTTTATTTTCTTGATATTTGAATTCTTTTATACCGACCTATTTTCTATGTTTGATTTTTTTATTATTGTTTAGCATTGCATGATCATCATAAATAAAAGAAAGGTGTTGATTAACCAAGTAATCATCATAATAGAAGAGCGACCATCAAAATGGAAAAGAGTTTTCATAACAAGGAAGATCGTAATTCAGCAGTTCGAGCTTGGCAGTTTGCCTGGGGATTACGTATCACAAACTGCATACGTCTACGGATCTCTCTTTTAAAGATGAAAATTCTTTTGGATAAATGGAAATATTTCTAAAAATGATTACTTTTGGAAATCGATACATTTTGCATTTGCATTCTGCAATGCATTTATTTAAACATTTTCATAATTTTTTTATCTGTATTTGTATATTTGCATTCTGCATGGCATTCATTGAAGCATTTTTTACATGCATTAATCATGGAATAATGGGTTTATCTAGTTGAAGACTCTGAGGAAGTGCTTCTAACTGTGCAAATTCGTTCACACAGTATTGAAAATGGAATTCAAATTTGAGAAGCTGAAGAATGAGCTAGAAGAGAGGTTGCAAAAGATGCAAGCATAGTGGGAAGTTAACATAGAGCAAATGCAAAAGGCCACCATGGATCGTATCTTGCAAAAGCAAAATGACATGGTTGATCAAATTGTAGCCAAAATGACTCTGCTTAACCAAGAAAGAGGCAAAGAAAATATTTTATCTACTATGGAAACTTCTGAATGTGTGATGGTCCATGCTAATCCACTAATACTCAGTTCGCCCCACAAGCTTCCTAGCCACCCAACATGCTTCTCCGCCACTAAAACTCATGTAATTGTGCTAGGTCCTCGGGATCATTCTATTGTTCAAAGCATGTCAAATCCCAATCAGATGAAAAGTGCCAACAATGAGATACTGGAGACTTTGAAAAAGTGGTGCAGAGAGATATTCCAGAGAATGAGAGGACAAAGCTCTCGTAGTGGGATGGATGCAAGAGACCTAGTCTTAGTTCTCGACTTGGTTCTTCCGCCCAAATTCAAGATACCTTATTTTGAAAAATACAATGAAACTAGTTTCCCTAGTGCCCATCTCACGATGTTTGTCCGAAGGATGATTGGGTACACCAACAATGATCAGATGTTAATCCACTACTTCCAAGACAGTTTGATTGGACCCACTTCGAGGTGGTATAATCAACTAAGTCATACTCAATTCCTCTCTTGGAAGGATTTGGATAGTTTCTTTTTGGGCCAATACAATCACATGATTGATATGACCCCCAATCGAACAACGCTTCAAAATATAGAGATGAGGAATGAGGAGAGCTTTCAACAATATGCTCAACGATGGAGGGATGTCGCATCTCAAGTACATCCACCAATGACTCAAAGAGAGTTCATCACTCTGTTCATCGATACATTGAAGTCTCCATATATTGATTACATGATAGGAGCCGCCATTAAAAAATTTTCTGACATCGTCATGTGCGGAGAAATGATCGAAAGAGCTATCAATAATGGCTAGATAGGTGGCACTAGCCATACCGACAATGATGAAAGAGATGAGATTAATATTCTGGGATCTTATCTAGCTAGTTTGGGGACCAAATCTCATAAGGCATTCCGTTGCATCAATCTAATCCCAATGATATATGAAGAATTGCTCCCAACGCTAGTTGAGAAGAACCTTGTGAATCCAGTTCAATCCAAACCAAGAGATGCCCCATATCCTGAAGGCCATGATATTAACGCCATATGTAACTATCATATTAGGAGCTCGAGGCATACCACTAAGAATTGTAGGACATTGAAGCGCAAGGTCCAAGATCTGATCGATTTAGGGGCATTGACGTTCAATGTATGATGGGCCATTTTGATCGGGAGTCGGCTGGGGCATCCATCAGGAGTTTTTGTTGCTTTCTCTTACATATCATCTTGTTTGATCTTGTTTTTCTTTTTCTATGTGTGAATGTTTGTAAGTCGCTTGATGTTCAAACATTTTCAATAAAATGCTTCATTCTTAGGAAATGAACAATGATCAAATTTTAATCTTGAATTATTTGAATATCATTATAATTAAAAGCTTTTTAATAATTGAGGTTGTAAATCTTTGACAAATGAAAAGATTGAACCCCAGCAAAATAAGAACCCCTTGATCCTAATCCAAAGTTGCACCAGACTATATACCCTTTTCTTACAGGGACCTAGCTATTTTTCACTTCTCATGAAGAGTCCATTGAAAGTTTTGGCATTCAGGTAAATGTTAAGAGCAGACATAATGGGGCAACTAGCACATGAGTTTGCAAATCTAATTGGTTTCTACTTCTGTTGATGACGTTCAATGATGAACATGATCTTCTTAGATGGAATGGTCAAATAGGTGAATCTAGTTTAGGTTAATTGCTTGGAAATTGAACTCTAACGATGAGATTTTCTGACCTTCAACAAGCACCAGGACTATAACATGTTTTCCTCAACGTGCTTAAGAAATGGAATCCGTATACCCAAAATAATATATATATATATATATATATACAATAAAGTTGAGCTATTCCACTAAAACAATTGGTTATAGAGAAAACTTGAAAGCTCTGACCTTATGAATAGATTATATTCAAACCATGACATTGATCGGGTACTTGGCAATTCGGTGTTTGCTCCACTGTGGTTGTCAAGTCGAAGACTTTGTGACAACATGAATCCTTCAGCTAGCCAAACAAAGGCATTTATAAGATATATGTACAATAAAGCTAAATTCAGCTAGCCAACAATGGCAAATTAAATCAAATTTATTAAATAAGGAGTTTCAGTGAATATAGACTAAGGGAGTTAAAGAACACCTGTTATAGTCAAACTCACACGAGCACTCAGAAATCTCATTTTTTATACTGATATTTGTACACTACCTTGACTAAATGAGTCCACGAAGCTTGAACAAATGGAAGATTTCAAAGAACTGAAATAGAAGTGTTTTAAAGAGTCTAACAATTGACTATACTAATTGCGTCATTTTGTTCACCTCCGATCAAAATGCCAAACCAAGAAAGAAGGACATGCTATGATCTTCACGAGGACCAATCAATGAAACAAACCTTAGAGTTTAGATAGCCCAACCTCAAAACCAACCTTTCAATCTTGATATTTGTCAACGATTTGTAGATATCAAAGATTAAAAGAGCAATTGATTTTTTATAATCAATGAATTCATATTTTTGTGATTTGCTCCAATTGTGAGGCCGAATAAGAGGCATTATTTTAGTTCATTTGACAATGAAAATTCACATATTCTTTCTTTGTCAAGTTGTTTTCAAAATAAGAAAAACATTTTCAAACAAGATAATCTCTCTGGCGGCATATCTTGGAGTTCAACAAATATCTCTCTAAAGCTCGAGATCGAAGCTGGGGAAAGAGAAGAAAGATTTGTGGGGAAATATTTGGTGGGGAAAAGAAAACAAATTGTCTCAGGTTGAGGTTTGCAAGAGTACACCGTGGTGGAAATGAAGACAAACTGAATCAAAGATAGAGTGAAGACTGCTCTCGTAACTATTCTCCTTTCAGATCGAGAAAACATACATCAATACAAGCATACATCAACACATACATACATGACACATGAAATTTACATCTTTGCATTCATCATCATGTGCAATAAACACTTTGAGTTTCCCCCTCTTGAGGACAAATAAAATACAAACTTCATCATGACATCATAACATCAAAGATTAAGCAGTCATAAATACATCATTTCGATTTTTCAGGAAATAAAAGCTTGGAAATAACTATATGTCTTCAACCTAAAAGAACAATGCCATCCACAGATTTGACTTCCTGAAGTCAACAATCAGATCTTCTGAAGACATTTCCTCAACATACAGGAACCAATAGACAGACTACGAGCTCTTGAGATTATTTTCTTAAAAACAATTTGTCTCGTTTGAGACATTTTTCCACAAATTTTGTCTCGCTTGAGAAAATTTGTCAAAACAAATTGCATTTCACTTGAGACGTTTTTCCTCTGAAATACAAATTTCAAAGTTGTTGTACTTGAAATAAAATTAATATCACTTAAGATTTTCAAAACCGATTCGTCTCACGTGAGCCAGTTTCCCTTTAAACACAAATCCTGAAATTGTTACCTTTGAAACAAAATAAACACCTTTGAGATTGTTTCCCTAGAAACAAAATCGACAATCTTTGAATCTTTTTATCTTAAAACGAATTTTGTCTCTTTTGAGACAATTTCTTTTGAAGGAAAATCTTTGAGTTTATTTCTTTGGAAACAAATCAAATTTGTCTCTTGGGACAATTTATTTTAAAGAAAAATCTTTGAGTATATTTCTTTGGAAACAAAATTTTGTCTCTCTTGAGACAATATCTTTTGAAAGAAAATCTTTTAGTCTGCTTCTCTTTAAACCAAATTCTTTAAGTATGTTTCTCTTAAAACAAACATCTTTGAGATCGTTTTCCTTGAAATGAGTTTTGTCTCATTTGAGACATATTCTTTTGAAACATCATCTGTGAGTCAGTTTCTCTTGAAACCATTATCCCTAAAGATGGCCTACCATCCTCATCGCGTAGGAACCGTGTCATCCCTTGACCATACCTCTTTATCACGTAGGGGTAATGTCACCCTTAGATAACCAGTCGTCCTCATCGCGTAGGAACCGTGTTATCATCCCTAAGGATGGCCTTCCATCCTCATCACGTAGGAACCGTGTTATCATCCCTAAGGATGGCCTTCCATCCTCATCACGTAGGAACTGTGTCATCCCCCGTCCAGACGTCCTCATCACGTAGGAGCCGCGTCAACCTTAGATAACATGTCGTCCTCATCACGTAGGCACCATGTTATCATTCCTAAAGATGGCCTGCCGTCCTCATCACGTAGAAACTGTGTCATCCATCGACCAGACCTTCTCATCATGTAGGAGCCGTGTCACCCCTAGATAATCAGCCGTCCTCATCGCGTAAGAACCGTGTTATCACCCTTCCTAAAGATGGCCAGAACTCTTCATCACGTATGAGCCGTGTCATCCCCTGGTCATATCTCCTCATCACGTAGGAGCCGTGTCACCCTTAGACGACCAAACCTCTTCATCACGTGTGAGTCGTGTCGTCCCCCCAACCACAAACACTATTAAATTTCAAAAAAAAAAAATCGGACAAAAACTTGTTGTCATTTTCATCTTTACCCAATTCTTATTAACATAAAATTGTGCAAAGAGGGGAAACTGTAGACACCCATTTTTTGTATGGGTCTATAAAAATATTATTATTATTATTAACCAAGTTTAACTATAATTTTTTTGTAGGCCACTGAAGCCCAATATTACAAGCCACTCAACCCCCCAAAGCCCAATACAACCCGAGGCCTAGCTAACCCAAACCCAGTTCAACAATAGACCATTCAGCGACCCGGACCTGACCTGAAAGGGACCCAAACTGACCTAGAGACCCGATCTGACTCACCTAGGGTTTCATCATAACCCTAGATAGCTTCTGCCGCCACCGCCGCCAGTCTCTAATGATGTCACCACCAACTATTCAGTCGACTGTTCTCACCTGCACAAAAATGACCCCAAATCATAT